ATACAATTTTAAGCACAAAGCAGCATGAAAATTCAGTTTCAACGCTATCCATCGGGATAACAGTCAGCAGAGTAAGTTTTTCACATTCTTTCAGTTTCTCGCCTGTTTCGTTCAGCCAGCATTTAGCAACCAAGATTTACTAGTTAGACCAAGCCCACCGGTGTGTCGCTAAATGGATGTCTATTATGATTACGCAAAGTGTTGCTATTATATTTAGCCAACCGCTTTCGCATCGATTGTTGGTACCAAGGTTGCCAAAGTACATCTCTATATCCACACCGGTGGTTGCCAATCTACACAGCAAAAAATCTGAATTTCAATTGAGATGTAAACGTTCATTCTCGTAAAATTGTATTTCATTTCACGCCAACGAGCAACTTTTAAGCAACACAACACACATCTTAACACGACTTACAATGAGGGTTATTCCGAGAGTCGAAGTGACTTTTGTCACTGGTGAAGTGAGAAAAGTCACGTCGTGGTGACGTGACTCTCAGTGCAAATCAAATGGAGAGTCACGTCACCACGACGTGACTTTTCTCACTTCACCAGTGACAAAAGTCACTTCGACTCTCGGAATAACCCCCAATGTATACTTATATGATTTGTGACGCTCCATTTATGTGCATCATACTGAATAGAAATTTACACTATTTGTTACACTGTGTAGCTACTTCGTATCTTAGTAAAAACAAACGGTTGCGAAGTTGACAAAACGCTGATTAGACCGGTAGTCTTCTGCGGCCACGAAACATGGACTGTACTTGATCAGATGGTGTTGTGTACCATCTACGGTGGAGTGCAAAAAGAAGGAGGAACGTGGAGAAGGCGAATGAACCGCGCATTGCACCAGCTACCACACGGTTTGAAAAATTAATGTAAATTTCTGCGATATATAGCGCACACGTTGTTAGTGCTACATTTGATGGGAAATTACACGACATTTCATGTAAATTTAAGCGCAATAATAAAGGAAAAGAAGATGCATTTACCGTTCCCATTACGTTTCTCATTTAAATTCTTTTGACGTAGGACTACGTCTTTGATTTCTATATAGGGGTACACTTTGTGAAAACCGAAAATGGAACATGTAACAAATTAAGAAAGATTTTGAACGTCAATAACTCAGCTGCCCCTTGACCAATTTCAATAATTTTATCACCAATCGATCAGAAATATGGCTACGTATCGATAACAATGCTTCCGAATGTTGATTTTCAACAAGAAATTATTGAAAAATTGGTAAATGTTCAGCATTGTCCAAAAGCGTTGAATTAACTAACAAATCCACCAATTACGAACATGCATATGCTGCTTCCCCAGCACAGTCGTCAGAGGGTAGTAAGTAGACGAAACATGTCGATGTAGCATTACGATGAGGTTTGGTAGTTCAGTGGTTACCGTTTCTGCTTACTGATCAATCCTGGCCTGTCCCCTTCCTTGCAATTTTTCACTTTGCCTTATTCTATCCCCACTAGATTTAAATAAAAAAACAAATTCTGCTTTAACCGATCGCATCACTTACCACAGTAATCCTAATCTAAAAATAACCTACCTCACTAACACAACTATCCTTCCCGAGACAGCCGTGGAGATGTAGAGGTATTCTCGGTCTCTAGTAACAACCGGACGTCGAACTAATCTCCCTCCCCTCCCCAAAAGACCGTGAGGACGTGGCCGGCGCTGTGAATTGATCTATAGATTGAATTAATGTGTAATGTACATTGAAGATGGAAAGCTTATCCACCATCTATGTAGTTCTCTGTTCAAGTGAATTAGTTGTGATCATTCACGGAGGAGCAACTACGAAGTGCACGGTCAGATAACGTTAACTCGACGGCAAACACATTCATTGATACGTTGGATGATAATAGTGTGAAATAGGAAACCATGGTCATCACAAAAGAGGAAATCGAAAAAGAGAATTGGCTTTCACCCTTCTGCTTCTAAAGGGTGTCCACGATGAAATTGCCACACACAAAATTGATTCGCAAAATTCGAGTTTTCATCCGATTGCCATCAAATTTTCAGGGATTGAGAAATAACTATTAAACTTCATTTTACCATTTTACTCGTATTTTATTTACAGTCCATACGCAAATGCCCGCACCTTGGCCTTAACCCCGGCCATAAGATTCTGCACAACCTGTGAATCAACCGTTTTTTGCATGTAAACCCATACTTTCTTCAGTTCCTCGACTGTCTTCACTACCTTAGGTCGTTTAATAAGGTGCTGCTTCATAATCGCCCAGTACTTCTCGATGGGGTGGAGCTCCGGAGTGTTGGAAGGGTTGAACATTTTCGGCACGAAATTGACCTTATTGTCCGCATACCACTTCAGCACGTCCTTGGAGTAGTGGCATGAGGCCAAATCCGGCCAGAAGATTGTTGGGACGTTGTGGGCCTTCAGGAGAGGAAGCAGCCGCTTCTGGAGGCACTCTTTTATGTACACCTGTCCGTTCATCGTGTCCTGGGTCACGAAAGGTGCACTCCGCTTCCCGCACGTGCAGATGGCTTGCCAAACCAGGAATTTCTTCGCAAATTTGGACATCTTCTGAGTGTGGACATGCTCCGGAACACTGAACTTATCCTCTCTCTGTTTGAAGTCGGCCTTCACATATGTTTCGTCGTCCATGATGCAGCATTCAACTTTCGTCAGCATGTTGAGGTACAACTTCCTGGCACGGGTTTTGGCGGACTTGTTCTGCTTCTCGTCGCGATTAGGGGCCTTTTGTACCTTGAACGTTCGAAGCCCAGCCTTAGTTTTGGCCTTCTGGACAAAACTTCGGCTTAGGTGCAGCTTCTTAGCCACATCCCTAACGGAGGCGTTCGGATTTCGGTTGAAGGCCCCAACTACGCAGTTGTGATTTTTGGTGTTGTACGGAATACTTTTTCCTTCACTTCTGGGCTTCCGATCGGTGGTCAACCGTTCCTCGAACCGCTTAATCACTCGCGACACCGTGGAATTCGCGATTCCCAACGTTTTAGCGATGGAACGATGCGAGAGATCCTTGTTCTCGTGATGAATGCGCAAGATTTTATCACGCACGAGCTGTTCTTTCGACTCCATTTCCATCACAGGACTTTAAAACTTGCAGGATGTAAATAATGCACTATGAACTAAATCCACCCAAATTTTCATTAAATTCTACCCAACGGTTAAAAAGTTAGAGCAATTTCATAGTGTGGCAATTTCATCGTGGACACCCTTTAAGCCCCTTACAGTCATCGTCATAGCATCGCACCGCTTTTGGTTCTAGGGCACTTGCTGGTTGCAATTTCAGATCAGGATTCACTGTGATGCGATCAGTTGTAAGCAGCAGGAATTTCCTTCCCAACTCTCATGTGGAATCTTTTAAAGGCTCTGAAAAGGGCCGGTTTTGATAGATTTCGACGGAGAAATTAAAAGCGTTCACCACAAATACGAAGAGCCAGCTGAATGTCCTTTGGCATAATTGTGACACGCTTTGCGTGAATGGCAAACAGACCGACCAGATAGGTCGGTTTATTTCACTCGTCGAGGGTATACTTAATTATTATACAGGGAGGGAACAATACATACAGCAAAATACTGAAAAGGGGAGGAGTTTCGCTTCTTATGCTACGGGCACAAAACGAGACACCACCGTCGAAACGACTATCGCTTGATCGTCAAGCAGTTCAGTTCGGTGTTAGCTCGGTCTCTCGTCCGACCATTTTCCAGAACACGCTGGTAGGAAGTGTTAAAAATCCATATAGAATTTGAGAGAAGTTGGAATAATTCGCTTTGGGTGTATATTCAGTCCCCAGAAAGCCAATAAAATCTAATTTGTGAGAAAATTAGCTCCCACGAGTTCAATCTCTCGAAGTGTCGAAGTCCCTCCTTTTTTTACATATTCTACACAAACGATACTTTCCGCCCCGCCCCATTCATATAATTCGGAAGGAAATCCTACGTCAAGCTTCCGTTCGTGCCCCTACACGCTAACTTGAAAGTACCCATTAATGGTTGAAAAAGACCCATTTTGAAGAAAAGTGGCTTAACTCATTAAATGAGTAAATTTTTTACCCATTAATGAGTATCTGTTACCCATTAATGAGTAATTGTTAATCATTAATGGGTAACAGATACTCATTAATGGGTAAAATTGTTTAATCATTAATGAGTTAAGCCACTTTTCTTCAAAATGCGTCTTTTTTTACTCATTAATGAGTACTTTCAAGTTAGCGTGTAGGCACAGACCCTTCCTCTTTTTTATTTCTGTTCAGCTATCGAAAGCTGATATTTCAAATGTAAATAAACTCCGAGGGGGACTCCGATTGACATAGTTTGCATTGTTTTCAGTTTGACTTCGAAAGTACAAGTTGGCAGTGTTTTTTGTTAGATATTATTATCATTGTTACCGATCAACTCTGCGATGACGGCCTCGACTTGACAAGGCAACTCTATACCATAGGACGAGATTAATGTTTATGCTTAAGACCATATTATTATCATAGACCTGTGCACGGGTGAACTTTAGTTCATCTACTGAAAAAAAATTGACACAACAGCGGGCCCCTGTTTACTAAAAATGAACACATGAATAATGCTCGCGTAACATTTGAAAAGGGCACACTAAACACGCCAAGCACCAAGTGACCATGGATGTCCTCTTCAATAAAACGACCCTGTTCAGGGCCATCAAGCTTACATCAGTAAAGAGTTGGAATAGAATTTATCTGTGCTTGTTTGTCCATATTCAGAACCACAAGCCCCAACGACCATACTAAATGCTCTCCAGAGTTGTAATCTTGTAACCAAACTTGGAAGTGATTTTGATTGATTCTCTTAATCAACTTTCTCTTTGTAAAAGATTACTACAAATTTGGTACGCCTACAATTCAAAAACGAAAAGAGTTGAGATAATAGATGAAAATATTTGCCAAATAGGCTTTTCCCCTTCAATCTTCATTTAGACAACAAAAGTCCGATGTAGAGAATAAAAAAAAACGACTCCACAGCTCGAAAAAGTACTTACCGGAATTTTGGACGTCCTCAAGAACTCCAGCAACGCTTCCAGAGAGCCAAGCGTAGATGCCTGCACATACACACCACGTTCGCTGAGCTTGATGCTACTCAGCACCGACTTCAAATCTCGTGCCACAATATCCCTAAAAGAAAGAAAAGAAAAACATCAAACCTCAGTCCCCTCTAATATCTACCTCTCTACTCACTTGAAAATCTCCACCTCGTCCGGTTTGTGCGCAATTTGCAGATTCAGACCGGCGATCGCTTTCTCCAGCTCCTTGGCGGCAATCTTGACACCCTGAGCCGCGATTACCTCCTTGTGCTCGATGTAGGCATTCTTCACGCGCAACTCCTTCATCGGTTGCGGCATCAGCAGGGCCTTAACCTGGGTCACAATCGGTCCTTCCGTACCGGCTAGAATCATGGTTTCGCCTTCGCGGAGCCTTCCGTTGATCAGAATGGCATCGATTGTCGTTCCGAGACCGGGGATTGCCTTCACTTCCAGCACCGTTGCCTGGAGGTCTTCGCTGAACACTAACCGTTTGGCCAGCTGCTTCTGGCAGTACTGCACAATCAGGAATAGCAAATTGCCCATACCTTCGCCGCTGATGGCACTCGTAGGAACTAGGGAGATGTACGTTTTGGGATCCGGGTTCTCATAGTAGAGGGCAGCATTGAGACTCTGTTCAGCAAATTGAACGATGATTTCCTTTGTACGCTGCTGAAATTCCAGCATTGTGTTGGAAGCTTGACCCTTGATGATGTCCCGAACGTCCTTGCGGTTCATGGTGTTCCAATCGTACAGACGATCGATCTTGTTGAGAGCTACTACGAACGGGGTTCGTTTGGATTTAAGCAAATTGATTGATTCAATTGTTTGAGGTTCGAGCCCGTGCATAATGTCGACAACAAGGATTGCTATGTCGCAGAGCGAGGAGCCTCGATTACGCAAATTACTGAAAGATTCGTGACCGGGTGTGTCGATAATGAGCAGACCTGGCAGCTTGAACGTGGTATCGCCGTAGCCTTTGACAAACTTAGTCTGTTCCTTAATGTTTTCGATCGGAACATTAGTAGCTCCGATTTGCTGGGTGATTCCACCGGCTTCACCATCTTGAACATTAGTCCGACGTAACTTATCCAAGATCTTGGTTTTACCCGTATCTACGTGACCCAGTACGCAAACAACAGCCGCTCGCAGCACATCAATCGATTTATTCTTTTCAGCATCCTGCGTTCTTTTGGCGATTCGTTCCATGGCCCGTTGGCGCATCTTTTCCGCCTCTGGACGGGTGTCTTCTTCCGAATCGCTTCCACTATCCGATTCCTCTTCCGAATCATCGTCCTCAGACTCACTCTCGTCATCTTCGTCGTCTTCGGATTCCTCCTTCTTGGCTCGCTTAGCCGCTTGAGATGGTTTCGAATCTTCCTTCTTTGCCGGTTTGTCGGGTTTCTTTTCTTCTGGCTCTTCTTCTTCACTATCAGAAGCATCCCAAGATTCTTTCACTTCGTCCTTGGGTTCTTCGACCTTCTGAGCCTCTGCCTTCAGTTCCTCTTCAGTGGGGCTGGATTCCTTACTTTCCGCTTCCTTGCTAGCGTCATCCCTCTTCTTTGGACGGAGTCGGGTTCCCGGACGAACCTTTTTCTCAACGCCGACTTCTGGAATTTCCACTCCTTGAGCCTTCAGCGCTTCCAGCATTGCCTGAGCACGCATGCGATCTAGCTTTTGCTTGGCCGTGAGAAGCTTTCCTTCGGCCTTCAACCGTTCTTTGCGCTCCTTTTCCTTCTGCTTCTTGCGTTCCTTCTTCTCCTGCTCCAAACGCAACTGTTCCTGGTGGTAAAGCTCCGCCTCTTCAGCCAAGCGCTGCTTTTCTTCTTCCTCACGTTGTAAACGTTCTTCTTCCTCGCGGATCGCTTTCAAACGTTCCTGCATCAGGGCGATGGCAGCCTTGTTAGGACCTTTCTTTTTCTTGTCCGCACCAGCGTCGCCAGCCTTTGCATCTTCAGCTGGTTTCGCAGTTGCTGGTTCAGCTGGTTTTTCTTCAGCAGCAACTTCGGTGCCTTCCTCTTTCTTGGCCTTCTTTTTCTTCTTCTTGCCTTCGCCGGCAGCTGGAGCAGCAGGTTCATCCTGTTCCGGAGCTGGAGTCGATTCTTTTGTCTCTTTTTCAGGCTCTGGCTTGGTAGGCTCAGCATCGTTTTCCTGCTGCTTAGCAGCTTGAGCTTCCTTTTTCTGACGTTCCTTTTTCTCTTTACGCTTTTCGGCTGCCGTTTTAATGTGAACCTCTCCATCGACCTTCTCCTCGACTGGTTCCGTCGTCTCCGGAGTTTCTTCCTTCTTTTTCTTATCCTTTTTGTCCTTTTTCTTCTCCGGTTCTTTCTGCTCCGGAGCGGCAGATTCTTCGCCTGGAGGTGGCTTCACTCCAGAGTATTCCAATTCCAATTCGGCGAGCATCTTTTCAATGTCCTCATCATCACTGTCGCCACCCTTCTTCTTCTTTCCCTTTTTGGCCTTTTTACCCTTTTGTTGAGGCTCATCATCTTCATCTTTAGCCTGCAAAAAGGAGACAACGTTCAACCTGAAACTTTACACTGAATGTGACATTCTGCACTCACCTGTTGCTTCTTGCCTGCCTTGGCCTTTCCCTTCTTGGGAGCCCCATCTTCTTCCTCATCATCATCCCGGATGGCTTCCTGCACTTCATCTTCTTCATCATCATCGTCGGCCATCAGCAGGGAAAATCCGACCGGTCCACCAGCAACGGATTTACCCTTCTTCTTGCCTTTAGCCTTCTTGCCTGCATCTTCCTCTTCCTCACCACCATCGTCATCATCATCCTCTTTGGCAGCCTTCTTAGGAGCTTTCTTCTTCTCCTTCTCCTGCTGCTTCCCACCGACGGCCAGCTTCTTGACCGCTTCGGCCACCTCCTCTAGGTTTTCGTCCGGTTCGCCATCACTTTCGATCTTCTTGGACTTTTTCTCCTTCTTCTTTTTATCATTCTTGCGGTTCTCTACCTCCGTCTCGGTCAGCTCGGTTTGCTTCACCTCAACGTCAGAACTGAAAAAAAAACAATTTTAGTAAATTAAATTTTTGACATCTTTTCTTGAACTTGTAAAATTTATTTCTTTAAAATTCGCCACAAATAACTAGATAAACTGTGTTATCCAATCTTGAAAACAAGTTTTCGCATAACCTCTCCCCTCAAAAAGCGATATTATACATTTTTTAAGTATCTCTTCCCCTCATCACCACGATACTTACTTATCCTCGCCAGTGGCGGCCACGGCGGCGGAGTCCTTCTTGCCTTTCTTCGTCTTACCCATCGCTTATTGCTCGGTCGACTCGGAACTTCGGGATAACTCCACCAACGATGCTGCTGATGACGATTGCTACCGGAAGGACTCAGCTTGAAGACACACACGGGAAGCGCAGGTGAACCTTTCCGGTCAATTACCTACTACTGAATCGCTCTAATGTGGGAGGCTGAAAATCCCTTCCCACTTTACCACGGCGAGAAACGCAACGCAATCACTTTTCCACCTGAGAAAAAAAAACACCGCACAGAACGGAACTTCACGACGGCGACGAGACACGGCGCACCCGACGGGTAAATCGAATCGCAATAGTTAGCACAACTTTACCACCGTAAATCGATACACATATATGCAACGATTATTCGCGAAAAGTTTTATGCAAAAACCAGCACGGACCGAGTCAAAAAACTAGCGAGAAAAATGTGTTTGCACCGCAACACCACAGCTAGCCAGAAGAAACACACGCAAGTACGTGACAGAAAGACTGTCCACTGACAGGTCGGCATCCACCCAGGCAGCGCCGCAAAAAGGACATCGAAGAAGCGAGTGACAGCTGTTTGATTTTGGCGTGTGGATGCGTGTGTGTTAGTGATGTTTATTTATGAGGGCGGGATTTATACGGGGGAGTAGCCAGTAGCTAAATGTAGTACCAGAAGTGAAGTTATTCTCGCGTAATTTATCAGATGGTCCAGAAAGGTCCAGAACATACACGGAACTGAAAAATTACTCAAAATTAAGTTCTTTTCACTCATCTTCCATGTTCCGTTCAATAAGCTAATTTAACAAAAATAATTACTTACTCGTGAGTATTTTCTACCCAAAATTTAGTTCAATTGACTCAAATTTGAGAATATCTCATATACTCACTGATAGCTTATTCCGTTTTTTACAACAACAAAAAGTGAGAGTGGGATGCAAAACTCAAAATTACCTAAAATTAAGTAAAAAGAATCTAAATTTAGGGTAATTTTCTAGGGGAAGTACAACCATAGAGGTAACTCTAAGACCACTGGGTACCGAAGAAAATCATTATTATTTTTGGCTCACTCAGTACCAGAACAACGGTCCCAAGCAGTCCCAAGCTATTTCACTCACCCCTGCATGTTCTGCATGAATCCACACACCCCTGATGTTATCTGTCAAACTTTCATAGCGAATCAAAACAAACATAGTGTAGTAATAGAATTTCAACTAGAATAGGGTACGTTAATCGTTTGCTTGGGACCAATAGGCTACTAAAGTGGTGAGCCAATTTAAAATCGTTAGTTTCGTATTGATTGTTGATTAAACTGAGCTTAATGCCAAATTGATTAAATTTCAAGCAAAATGGGAATAGTTCAATTTATCAGTGTAGTAATGTTCTAAAGCGGTTACTGCTTTCAAATAAGTCGACTTTTAAATGTTCTTTCCTGTGCAAAAATATTACTGTGCAATTATTTTTTTTTAATTTGGTGCCTCGTTTGGTGAAAAATGCGCAATATGATTGCATCGATTTTCAATCATTACCACGTTATACGCATCAGAAACGCTTGAGAAAACAATCACAAATCCAAGCTCACTTCATGATAGGTTTGTAATATGTTTTGCTATCGAGTGAACGAGTTTCCAAAATCACCACCATTGCTTACAAATGCAGATACGTCCCATCGAAAAAGTAATCGAGAATTGATGATGATGTATTGAGCTGTTGCTCAACAGAATAGAAGTTGCATAGAAGCATACATGTAAAAAAAAAAAACGCAACGTATCGGAATCATTCCTGAAGAAACTTAATAAAATATGCCGTCTTCCTTGGCCTACGAAGCACGCTATTGGCTATTAAAAAATTACGATGGAATAATGATTACTTTTCTATTTTATAACGAAAGTATTTCTCAATGATGGCGAATGAAATCGTAAACTGGAGCTGCCGAAGCTGAGTGATGACACCGCTTCGTGTTTTAATTTGCGCTGCACGCTATTTAAAAAAAAAACCAAATTTGGGTAGAATCCACCCAGATCGGTCAAAACTGAACCTACCCAAAAATGGGTAAACTGTGTTGGGTGTGACAAGTTGACAAATGAACAACGTCGATTGGATTCATATCAATGTTGTTCATTTGTCAACTTGTCACTCCCAACACAGTTACCCATTTTTGAGTAGGTTCAGTTTTGATAGATCTGGGTGGATTCTACCCAAATTTGGGTAGTTTTGAAATAGCGTGTGTACCTTCCGCTCAATGGTGTATATGTACAGATGATGGTGTGTGTTTTCTCCCAACGCTGTAGTTCAACGTTGTTTCGCCACAGACCTATTGGCGCTGTTATCTGTATCTATACATTCCAAAGAGTGAAGTAGGTCTGGTAGCGGTATGGTCAAACGATAACATGAAACTATTATGGGAATGATTCAAATAATCGGATGTTTTTCCTACGTATCATCCAAAAAAAGCAATACATTATTTTAAATTATATGTTATAATATTAATGGAACATTTTCGTCAATAGAGACACCCGGAAGATCATCAAGCTTTCTTCCTTCTTTCGATCAGACGTTTTCGCACTCCTGCCGATTTAGCAGAGCTTCCTTCACGAAGACCTTGCTTGGTCAGCTTGAATTCCTTCGGATGATTTTGCGACACGTTTTTAATTCCTCACATCGACGTTGTGAATCGCTGAAAAATATAAATTAAGTTATTATATTTGTAGACATACTAAAAATACTTACCCATTAACATGAAATTTCATATGAATTGTAAAAATTGTAAAAATGCATGACAAACGGCTCTATCTCGCATACAACAAGTCAACAAAAACAACTACGACATAAAAAACAAGTGTTACTACGATGAAAATAAAATATTGGTTTAAAATACTGAAAAATACTTAAGAATACTTACGGGGGATTTAAAAATATTTGATTGATATTAGGTCTAAAGTTTAGGTTGGGATGCCCCTAGTGTTTTCCTGTGGACAACCTAAAAAATCTGCCAGAAAATAAGGAAAATTGACGAAAATTTTCGAGAAAATTTTACTCAGTCTCAATAGACTGAGAGAATCCAATTCTTACTTTACTTTTCGAAGGGGACGTATCAGCTTTTGTAAACAATGCATTTGACCACCGATTTGGCGTAACTGGTAGCTCGTCCACGCATGCTTACACTACCACCAGATAGGGGCAATTTTCCTCTACCTGCTAGTTGTGTTAGAAAGCGTGTGCGAGCTACCAGTTATGCCAAATCGACGATCAAATGCATTGTTTACAGAAGCTGATACGTCCCCTTGAAAAAGTAATCGAGTTTTCTCATATTCGGGATTTTTTTCCTGGTAAAACCAGGAAAACATGAGGCAAACTTGCTCATCGCTGAGTTACCAACCGGTGAAAACTAACAATTTTAAATTGGCTCCGAGGTTCGACTGGCGATGATCGATTTCTGTACGTGGTACCTGATCAAGCGTGAACGGTGACAAAGGCGCAGAAGACGGTAGTTCTTTTGCTGGCCATTTCGCAGGATCAGAAGTTTTTTTTTAGGCCGATAAGGGGCTGTTCATAAACTACGTAGACACATTTTTTTAATTATTGGCAAACCCCCCCCCCCTCCCCCTGCGTAGACAATTGCACATACAAAATTTTTAAAATTTGTATGGGCCGTGCATAATTGTCAGCCCCCCTAAACTGTCTACGTAGTTTATGAACAGCCTCTAAAAGAAAGAACTGAACGGACACTGGAGCTGCGCTGCTTCCGGGAAAAAATCGCAGCTAGCATGCAATCAACAATCAATACGAAACTAACGATTTAAAATTGGCTCACTACTTGACTAGCCTATTGGTCCCAAGCAAACGATTAACGTACCCCATTCTAGTCGAAATTCTAGTCCTACGCAATGTTTGTTTTGATTCGCTATGAAAGTTTGACAGATAAAATGAGGGGTTATTGGATTTTCCTATGTTTCGAGGGGTGAATCGATTAGTTTGGCACCGAAGAGCGTACCAGAGCTGAGCCAAAAAGTTGAGCACGTTATTTCGGGACCTTCTAGTCTTAGAGTTACCTCTATGATGCAATTGCCTTCCCAGCACGGATAACTTGAGTGTGTCAAGTTGCTCGGTAACGATCATTTCGTGTCCTGTGCACATGGGACTCATCGTTTCCTATCGGTTTGGAGATCTGCCCATAGTATTGTTTAGTTGACCCATGAAAAGACGAATAATGGGGAGGCGAATTTCATAAGTGCTATCGTGCTATCGCGTCAATTTTGAATACGGATGTGATCATATGATGGCGATAATACAAATAAAAGCACACAATTGGTTTGAATCATCTTAGTGTCTGCAACCAAAACCTGATTATATTTTTTTTGTTAATGAACTCTGGCTTAAATCTGTTAATTATTATTAGTATAATAATATTAAGTTTGAAGGAAATATTAAAATAATCGAAGAATTCACGCGTAACATCAGAAAATTAATGCAAATGCAAATACATCTTCCATTGAATCTGTTAATTCTGGCACAAGCTAATATCATCATCTGTTGAATTGTGCTGCGAACATTTTTTAATCGGGAGGAAATTTGCTCGAGGATTTGCTTGAATTTAAGGAAATGTAAAATTTGAACACATGTCGTCACAACTGAGTGATTCCCATTTCATTTGTACGGCAATCACGGCTCTCATTATGAGTATCACTTCCTTTTAACTGTATATTGTTGCTAGAGTTGTAAACCGATATAACCCACTCAACAATCGATTTTATTCTAGTTCTGCTTTAAAGCGCATTATTAAACGAATACAGAGCACTAGATACGACATTATGTTGAACGTACAAAACGAGAGTGAAATCGATTGTCGCGAGTGGATTATTTCAGTTTCCAACTTTAGCACGACCCTAATAAAAATTGTATGGTTAATTTGCTTAACGACGTGTTCTGGGTATCATCCAAACCATTTGTGGAATAGTTCAATGATTTGGGTTATCATTCGTTTATGGTTATTTTTTATTAGGGGAGGTCTAGCATGGTGCTTCAAGAATTGTATTATAAGTATTCGCAGAATTGGTCATGTTTGTAGTATAGTAAAACATTAATGGGCGCATTTCAGAGTTTTTGAATAAATTGATTCGGTAATCGAAATTAATTACCGAGTTGATCACCGAGCACTCAGCTGTTATAATTTCGGTAATTTTTTACCGGGCTCGGCAATCTCGATTGAGTGTGTAATGAGCCTCTATTCTTCAAAATGGGTGAAATTCTACCTATCAGTTATTTAAAGTTAGCGTGTGCTAATCAAAACCGATCTTTTTATTTCAGTGCAATCAAAAGTAAACATCGATCTAGTACCACAAATATAAGTCCGTTAAATCCCGCCTGGGTTGCATTGTCTCCGTTGTCTCCCGCTTGCATTACAGACAGTGCGGGGCAACTGCATCCCACCCAGTGGAAGTGGAAAATTCAAAACCCAAACGGTCGCCATCGCGTAATTTTTGCTTGCATGTGATTTTTTGTTCAGTTACATGAGTGTTGTTGCTTAAAATTTAACGCAACGACATTATCGTAGGTTGCAGATTGTGAAAATTAACCTGAAGGTTTTATCTGCTTTTATTTAGTGAAGATACACGTTGCCATTCTGTTGAGCTAGATTTGATACAGCTAAGGACCGTTGACAACAATGGATTCCAGAGCGTCCGATGTTTTGAAGGTATTTTATGATTAATGTAATTTTTTCTGCTATTGTATTTCAATGATCGGCACTTCTAGAAACAAAGATACTTGGCAGCTCAAACCCTGCAGAAGGCAGACGAAATGCGTGAGCGAAGCCCGTTGAACGGGAAAAATGTGTCCAGAGGTCGTCAGCTGCTCTCGCCTTCAACGCTGGATCGGAACGATTCTAGTGGTGGATCGCGAAGCGATAGCGAATATTTGCAGCAACCTAGACGATATAAGGCCATAAATATAACCGAGCTGGAGGAAGATAAAACGATTCATCTGCAAGCCACACCCCAGAAAATGACCTTCGAACCGAAAGAGATGGCAGCGCGATCGACTATGGAGAAAAATTCCGCCGATCAGGCTCGCAGGAAACTTCCAATAGAACAGATGGCTCCCGAGATTCAAGCAATTTTGAACGAAAGTATTGCCCCGGAGATTCGAGAGCTGAGCGGAATGTTCGACAGGACGTCTGTGTCCAGCGATTCGGCATTGCATCTTCTACAGTCGGATGATCGCCCGGACGTGAGTCTACCGCGAACGGCGGACATGAGTCGGATGTCGGCGATGAGAGAATCGATTTCGTCCATACCACAGAAAAATGTTCAGGGAGATTTCTGGGATTTGCCGGCGGCGTCCACCCCCTTTGCGAATAGTTGGATGCAAAAGGAACTATCCCAGTTAGAGGAAATCAGTTTTCATCCGGCGGAAGGCCAACAATCTCGTCTGTTGGAAGATGAAATGGCTTGGGAGCAGGAGAATGCCATTATCCCGGAAATGAATGCAAAGAAAATGGTGAACGGTACATCGCCGGTGGAGTTGTCAAAGTTGCCGCAGAATCTTCGGAATCATGTGGACTTCTCTTGCTTCTCGGGATACCTAGCTCAAGACGACCAGGATTCGATGCATGCCACTCGAATAGAGGATAGCAGTTACTGTTCGGTAGGGGAATACTTTAACAAAATGTCGGACGATTTGAAAGGCATGATTTCGGAAAGCAGTCCTCCTCGGCGAACGCCTCACCCATTGGTGGATTTAAGTAATCTGGGTATGATGTGTAACATGTAAAATGATTGATATTGCAGTGTTAACGTGATAAAATTTCATTCTGCAGGTTCATCGGGCGAGTCGGGCGGAAAGACTCCGAACAAACCTAGAAGGAACATAACTAGTTCGACGGACATAGACAAGGAAAATTCGCTCAGTGTTTCAAAAATTATAAAAGCAATCGGTGAGTGTTTTTTTTTTTTTTTTTTCGTTAATGCAAAAGTAATGTTTAAGAAACTTAGAGATCTTTTTGTGTTTTCCCTAGATTCGATTCATGTGGGGGACACCCCGACTGCATTCATCAGTAGACTCCGGAACATGCGGAAAGGAAGAACTGAACAGTCAAATGAGCGTCCTAGTGTGCCACCATCCTTAAAGCAACCAGCGCAGGCTGCAGAGTTGTACAAGACTGCATCGCTGAAGACTGATATGGCTTCGGTAACAAAATCCCCGTCCTTTATTCGTGATCTGAGCGAGGCGAAATCACGTCCTAATTCTGATAATCTCTCCGATACGGCAAGCTTCACTGAGTCACTGCTGGAGTCTTCCGCTTTTGTTCCGATCGATCATCGTATAATGACAACATCCAGTCCGAAGCTAGGCAATTCCGTTCCACCATCAGTAGCAAAGTCCATGCAGAGTGAAGTCGACGGGACGTATCGTGTCTCGACTGCGAAAAAACCACTTGTGAACACGTATCGAGTCTCAACGGCGACAAAAATGTCCGAGGATCAACTTGAGCTGCCACCAATTCCAAAGGTTCGGTCACCTCGTAAATGTCAGAAGCAAATACTTCTAGATGTTCCTCCTGTGAAACCGAGTCGCAAAAGAAGATCAAGTTCAGCGACCCGCCAGGAACTTATGGAAAATGAAGAGAAGCGCTTGGATACAATCCAGACTAATCAAAAACGGTCCCGATCGCCAACAAATATGGCAGAGTTGAAGGCAGTGTCCAATCACTTGACGGTCTACACTGAAACGCCAAAAAGTACCATCCCTTCGCAGCGTGCAGTGCAGCCGAAACTGAACAGGTCGTTCCTTTCACCGGAGCCTCGTCAGCGTGACGTTTATGCAGACAAGTCACCATTCACCTCACCTAAATCGGTTGCTTCTTCAAGCGATGATCTGAGGGGAACCGATCGAGTCGCCTATTCCGAACCATCCAAGTCACCTAAAAGGTACAATTTACTTAGTTCCGCTAGATCAGCTTCTCAGTTCTCAGTTACGAATAGTGAATACAGCCACAAGGACGGGACACTCCCTCTAAAAGCCACGCATTCGGAGATTTCCTGGGGAAGCACGAAGCTTAGGAAAAACGAGAAGAAATCAATGCAAATCAAAAACATCTCCAATAAGAAATTGGTTATCAAAGCCTGCATTACAGGGCCCGGTTTTCAGCTGTGCGGGACAGAGCATGTCTTAACGCTTCACAGTCAGGAGTGCCGTACAATCACGGTTGACTTCTGCCCCACCGTCATTGGTCCAGCAGTTGGTCTTCTCAGCTTCCAACCGTCGCATGACAACTACGCTCATCAACGTGCCGTGTCACTCTTCGGTTATGGTGGCGAGGCATCCATTCGAATCGAAGGGATCCAGAAAGGACCTACCGGTCCCTACTTGGAACTCGGTCAAGCCCGCAATCTAGGACGTCCTCTTGAGAAATCTTTCACTCTCTATAATAAAGGAAATCTACCGGCATTTGCCCGGATCGGAATTGACAAGAAGAAAGTCGATCAGACCTTCCTGGCCTCCGCAGTGTTCGTTCAGCCACAAAAGGTCATCATTCCTCCGAACACGTACGTCCACGTCAATGTTATCTTCAAACCACGTCGCCAAGAAATTGCCAAAATTCTCCAGAAACAAGTCGACGTCCTCTCGATTACGAATCTTCACATTATGTGGGGCGATGAGGCCACCCGTCATCGTATTCGTCATATTATCAACCTTATCAAACGGAACGATCTGCAGGAAAACAATCTCACCCCGTTGGAATCCGTGTGCGAAACTTTCCCGAACGAACGTGAGTTCAGCGAACTGGAACGCTTTACGGAAAATGTTTTCCAAACCATTCACGAACTGTTTCTCACCTTCCGCGAGTACGAGTTGGTCCTGACGGTGGATCGGGCCTTGGATGAAACCATGATCGACTTCACGCTGACCGACGACAGTAGTGCACTGTTCAAAACAATGTGCGTTTCTTCGGATGCAGGTTCGCCTCGTCTGCCGGAGGACATCTCCCCGGCCGTACTAATGGCAAAAAGGGAGAGCGGTGAATCGTGGAGTGTCCGGCCGACCTTCATCGAGTTTACATCCACCGAACGCACCAAGCAGTTTGTTATCAAAAGCAACTTCTACACGACGCAGTTCTTTGAACTGAACTCAAATTTTCGCCCGCTGTTCAAGTTCTCGCCAATGGAAGGACAGATCCGTCCCGGGCAGGAAGTGATCGTCAATGTCAACTTCCACATGGGACCACCGACGCAGCAGCAGATTTTGATCGTGGTAAGTGCAATACTTTGATTATAGGGAGCTGCCTCAAATTGAAACCGCGCATATTGCTATTTGCAGGTTTACATTGAAAACGAAAAGATCACCCTTCCGGTTTACGTCCGCCATGGGAATCGACGGGAGATCGGTGCTGCGCATTGAGGCCCATGACTGCTGTTTAGAATTTTAAAGTATACATTATTTGATAGATTTCCGTTCGTTATTTATTTGTGCTTGCGTATTGCTTGCACAGTGATTGATCCAGTGCACTAATCGATATTTGCGTTTTCCTTGTAGGTATTAAACTAACAACAATACGTTCTTGACTGAAAGTTACAATTTTATATGTCCGAAAGTTCCTTAAAAGTTACAAGGTCGAAAATATAGTTAAAGTTAGTATTGTAGGTACCTGAGTCATGTTTGTATGGCAGATTACAACCCCTGGTCCTTACATCTCTTTGGATTTGTGTTGAGATCCCTATAATAACTGTGCCAATTTTGATTGTCCAAAATGGTTCTACGACATTTCCGGAAATCTATTTCGTGGTACACACTTAATTTTATTTGCCGAATCTCAGCAATTTTTACCGAGATCTCAGCAAAAGTGAAGTTTGGTTGCTGAGTCTCAGAATATGTTCTGTTGAATCTCAGCAAACAAGCGTTATGTTTGCTGAGACCTAAAGACCGTTCCGATAATTATAAATACACTAACGATGAACCGTAATTTCAAACTGCGTAATATTTCACAAAATTTTGGCTGCATCCTGATGTTTACATCCTACTCTAAACACGTGTTGTCAGTTTTTTTTTTTATATTTTGCAAGGAAATGCGAAAACGGATTGTGCACAAATGGTGTACCGTGAATGGACTTTTCTTAAGAAAACTTGCTAGGGAGGATGATGCATTATGGAAGTATGAAGAATCATGCACTTTCGAAGATTCTCCGAGACGTGGAAGAAAACCTGGCCCCGTTGACCCTGCAATCGACCGGAAGATAAGAGATCGTTTTAAGCAGCATCCATCAGCATCAGTGCGAGATGTAGCGGAAACAGCAGCAACCAAAACGAAGCAAAAGCAGGCTGCATTCGTGAAGACGAGAGCTCGGAAGCTGTACGACTCAATGCTGGGGAAAAAAATCGGGGTGCATAGTCATGGATGATGAGACATACGTGAAACTCGATTATCAGACTGCCAGGACCGCAGTTCTACCACAGACAAACAAACATTACGCATTGAATATTTCTCATTATAAATCATCATCGCTAAAACATAACCGCCATCTGTTGAGTACACTGTAGTGGGCACTACGCTGAACAGATGGCGGTAGTGTGTAAACGTCAAACGCAAGGGACCTACGACACCAAATACGATACTTTTAAATTGTCCGTTAAATGCGTGTTCGATGAACAACTTGCGAGAGTTATGTCTGTTTGTCTGTGGTTCTACCAACAGGTGGAAACTAACGATTTTAAATTGGCTCACTACTTGGCTAGCCTATTGGTCCCCAGTACATCTATGCTGTCGTTATACGCATTACTGACCCATGTTCAATGCAATTCTTATGCACAGTGGAACTCTTATGCGTATAACGGCTGTATAAGCAACAATAAATACGAAACAAACGAGTTTAAAGGCCAAAACGCAATGTGGACGGAAGCGGAACGGAAACGGAAAGTTTGACAGTTGTCACAAATGACATCAAGACGCCTAACCGAAGTCGATTTGATTCTAACTAGTTTTTAATCCGACAAGTATAGGCTTACTCAGAACGGGCTTTTCCGCTTCCGCTGTCATTGCGTTTGAGCCTTAAATTGGCTCACTACTTGACTAGCCTATTGGTCCCAAGCAAATCGATTTAGGTACCCCATTCTAGTTGAAATTCTACTACTACACAATGTTTGTTTTGATTCGCTATAAAAGTTTGACAGATAAAATGAGGGGTCCGTGGATTTTCCTATGTTTCGAGGGGTGAATCGATTAGCTTGGGACCGAAGAGAGTACCAGAGCTGAGCCAAAAAGTTGAGCAAGTTATTTCGGGAGCTTCTAGTCTTAGAGTTACCTCTATGGTTATACACTTTTCTTCGGGTCCTTCTGGTCTTGGAGTTACCTATATTTTACAAGGACTAAGATGTGTTCCTTTGATTACTGCAAGGGGTGGTCACTCTACACACTTATTTTGCGCCAACATTTTCCTCAGTGTGTTTGCTTGTGAATAATGCCTTGTGTGACAACCCGGTATTTTAACAGCTCTTGTTTTTGTTTTGTTTTTCAATGTTTTCAAAAACGACACGAACTCCAGTTGGGACTACACACTGCAAAGGATGAGCTCCGTTGCTACACGATCCTTCCATCTTCAGCGAAAGGCCGACCCCGCACAACGAACTTCAATCATTAGTCAACCAACCCTTCTGGGAGCCGGCGGAGGAAACGGATTTGCACGGAATTTTTCACCGCCCGAGTATCATCCGTGGGAAAACTGGAAACCAACACCGGCCGGAACACACGTCGGACTGATGAAGGACGCACCGCTGACCCGAAACGGACCAGCCAACTAAACTAAATGCTGACTATTTAAAGCTGGATTGTCATTCACGAGACGGACCGAATAGTCGTGGATCACCTGTGTTAACATGGAAAGTCGAGGGTTTTTAAAGGGTGTCCCACATCAAATTGCATCACGCAAGAAACGCTATAGAAAATTACCCATTGGGTATTTTCTCTTGAAAATTTGGATAGAAGTAGTTTAGAGTGTATTGTTTACACTGTATTTTAACGCTGACAGTTTTTCGAAAGTTGGAACAAATGGCGTCACCCGAAAAGCAACGTCGCGAATTGATTTTGCGCGCATCTGGAAAATCCTCAACTCTCTCATCGGGACATCGGAAAACAACTCGGAATCGTGCAGTCAACGGTGAGTCGTGTGATTAAACGTTACTACGAAACTCTGAGCATCGAACGGAAGGAGAAATGTGGTCAGAATGGATGTTCTATTAGTGATCAGGATCACAAGCGTGTCGTGAAAGCGGAATTCCAACGCTTCGGTCAGGGATGTGGCCAAAAAGTTGAATGTGTCCAAGTCTTTCGTTCAGAGAGCCAATGACCGGGAGGGACTGCATACGTACAAAGTGCAGAAGCACAAACGAAGTGACAGACGGAGCGGCTCGAAAACTTTGGTGACTAACCTTCTATTGCAATTTTTCAGTGTACCACATGGCAACACCAGTACTACTGGATTGTACCACATGGCAACACTACTATTGGATTGAACTAGCATTTTCACCAAATGTACTAGAATATTCTGGTTCTATCTCTTTCACTCTACTCAAAACTGAAATGCATAAAAAAATGACAAAATGATACGCACTCTTTGCACACTGTCAAAGAATCATTGTACACAAAATCAACTTTGTTCAAATCAAAACGAAAAAACTAACCCATCTGGTGGATGATGGCACAAGCTTCCAAGAAAATTCTATTACAGTGAACCACATTATTTTAATCGATTTCTTCGCCAGTAAGTCGTCTGTCACTTCGTTTGTGGCAGAAGGCTCCAAATCGTGACGAATGGTAAAATACGGTGGGAAAGTCACGGGCCCGGAAACTGTACACCCAGATGCTGACGAAGCCTCATTGTCTCATCATGGATGAAGGCGGACTTCCGGCAGTTTCCGGGGCTACTGTTCTTCACCGCCCAGCACAAGTTTGATGTTTCGGAGGAAGTAAGGAAGCAGAAACTTTCAAAGTTTGCCAAGAAATACATGATTTGGCAAGCGATCTGCTCAAAGGAGAGCGCCGTTCGTAACTACCGGGACTATAAGCCGTACAGAATAAGCTGCAGCCAGATGTTCTACAGAACCTAATAAGTGGAGTTAAGCGTAAGGCGCTAGCGTACGGTTATGGTATTGAAGTTGAATGAAATAAATATGCCGTAAGCTTATTCATGGGTTTTATTTTATTGTCTGAAAGTGTGAAAAGGATCGGTCAACTAGGTAATTTCACGCCACTGCGTCCTAGCAAGAAGTACGGTCGACTTGTTTCGCGCTCCGTTGTTTTGGAAGTTTTTCGGTATTCGCTTGATATAAATTATCAGTTTTTTTTCTCACTAAGTGACTCCTGGCATAGTTCCCGGTAAATTGATCGAAAAGTGAGTTTTTTTTAGTAGAAAGTGTCATTTTCGGAAAGATTAACCCGTGCTATTGGAAATTCGCAAGCAAATTTGGGCATCATCGTTGCGTGGTCACGCATACGCGCTTACGCATACCCGCGCACGTATCATCATCATCGAGTGTGAGCACCCGTTTCTACATCTACATCGTTCATCAATCATCGTGCGCCTGTGTGCACTGAGTGCCGCGCCTCGATCAAGTGCACCACAGCGAAGGTCATCCACGCTGCGCGTCGCTTCCCAGCCATCTGTGTAAACGCCTACACATATAACGCTCGGTGGTAGTAGTATAGGATTATCAGATAAGTTTTTGTTTTTTTTTTCTTGTTTCTTTTACTATCCCATTAGTTAAATTTTCATTTTGTATTTCTGTGTTTGTAGTGTTTTCTGTGTATTGTGTCTGTGCGTTCAGTGGGAGAGCGTTTTGCGCTCCCACTAGTTGAACAAAATGGATGTTTTGTCAGAAGACAACATGGATGACCATTCATCTCAGAAGAATGGTGATGTCATCCCTGGTTCGTCGTCTCAGTCTGTCCATGGGCAGGCTGAGAAAAGCTCCAGATTGCGGGCCTACCCGAATGACTCGACTGGCCCATGGGTTGTCTATTTTCAGCCCAAAAACAAACCCTTGAATGTTGTTCAGATATCTGATGATCGGACAAAGCGATTCTCTGCCGTGACCGAAATAACGAAGGTTAGGCACAACAAACTTCGTGTGACCGTCGCTAACCTGAAACAGGCCAATGAAATTGCTGTTTCCCAATTTTTCACACTAGAATATAGGGTGTACATTCCAGCCTCTGATGTGGAGATCGAAGGCGTGGTCACTGAGGCGAGTCTGAACCCCGAGATACTGGAGAAGCAAGCGGTTGGCCGATTCAAGAACCCCTTGCTTCCTCCGGTAAAGATACTGGCCGTTCATAACAATAATTGCGATGCATTTGCCCTCTGTGAAACATGGCTCTCTTCAGAAATTGATCTCCCTTTTTATGATTTTAACATTATTCGATTGGATCGTGAGGATTCACGTGGAGGAGGGGTACTTTTGGGGATTGAAGTTGTCGCATGTCAGGCTACCATTAAAGGTAAGAGCCTTTGTATTGCTTCTGTATATATTGCTCCTAGAGTCTCTGTTAATCGCAAACAACTT